GTCATACCTCTGGTGTGAACATGTTTAACAACATCAGGACCAAGGTATACATGAGCTTATGAAAGGAATGTTAATGCAAAGTCCCCTTGAGGATGAAAGAACAAGTGTGTGTGTGTGTGTGTGTGTGTGTGTGTGTGTGTGTGTGTGTGTGTGTGTGTGTGTGTGTGTGTTTTGCTGTACTGATGTGACAGGAGGAGAGGAGCAGGCTGTGAACTGGACCACAGGAGTTGGTTCAGTCCATTTCCATTTAGCTGTCAGTCTGTCTGATTATCAGTAGAGCGGTGACCATGTCAGACACGTAAACACGTTAACTGACCTGTGATCACAGCAGAGACATGTAAACACATTAACTGACCTGTGATCACAACAGAGACACGTAAACACATTAACTGACCTGTGATCACAGCAGAGACATGTTAACACATTAACTGACCTGTGATCACAACAGAGACACGTAAACACATTAACTGACCTGTGATCACAACAGAGACATGTTAACATGATTACTGACCTGATCTGCAGGTAAGAAGAATGTGGTAATCATGGGTAGGAAGACCTGGTTCTCTATCCCAGAGAAGAACCGACCTCTGAAGGACCGGATCAACATCATCCTGAGCAGGAACTTAAAGTATGTTTGTGTCACACAGCTACACCAGTGACATGTTGGTAAACACAGTCCTCCTGCTGCGTTCAGGTACTGATGTCAGCTGGTATCTGATAACTGACCCTTGTATGTGTTGATGGCTCAGACTTTGTTCTTCAGAACCTGCTCTGTAGTCATCATCTGGCTGAGGACTGTTCCACTGTGGAACATCCAAACATCTGTCTGAGAGGGTTTAGGTCTGTAGAGAACAGGAGTTTGGACAGAGCATCATCTTTGTGTACAACACWTTTGATGCTGGGCACAGGTGTGTGTGTGTGTGTGTCTGCTCTTATTGACCTGCAGTTCTGTAGACCAGTAGCTGGTGCTTGTTTCCCCAGGGGCTTCATGTATAAACAGTGCGTACAAACACACCGGATGTATCAAAACAATGTTACATAAAAGTGTGTGTAAAAATACACACTTTCACCTGCTGAGTATGTGCAGACAGCCAGGTTTTTCAGTTGAAACATACAAATGCAGCGTGTGTTTATACACAGAGTGTGTGTTTATACACAGAGTGTGTGTTTATACACAGAGTGTGTATTTATACGTAGAGCGTGTATTTATACGCAGAGCGTGTATTTAAACGTAGAGCGTGTATTTAAACGTAGAGCGTGTATTTATACGTAGAGCATGTATTTATACACAGTGTGTGTTTATACACAGAGTGTGTGTTTATACACAGAGTGTGTGTTTATACACAGAGTGTATTTATACACAGAGTGTGTGTTCATACACAGAGTGTATTTATACGTAGAGTGTGTGTTTATACACAGAGTGTATTTATACGTAGAGTGTGTGTTTATACACAGAGTGTATTTATACGTAGAGCGTGGGTTTATACACAGAGTGTGTTCATACACAGAGCACCGTATTTATACACAGAACATGTGTTTGTACACAGAACCTGTGTTTGTACACAACGTGTGTTTATACACAGCACCGTATTTATACACAGAGCGTGTGTTTATATGCAGAGCATGTATTTATACACAGAGCACCGTATTTATACACACAGCACATATGCATACACAGAATATGTGTTTACACACAGAACGTGTATTTATATGCATAGTATTTGTTTACTCTGCTGGGTTAAATGAACTGTGAGATGGTCTCTGGTTTGGCTGAAATGTGCTGGTTTTGTGCAGAGCGCCCCCTGCAGGAGCACACCACCTGGCTGCAGACTTCAGCTCAGCTCTCAGGCTGGTGGACTCAGAGTTGTCGGAGCAGGCAGATCAGGTCTGGGTCATCGGAGGAAGCTCTCTCTACAAGGTACACGTCTATTTCAGTTCCAGTCATAGGGAAGAAATTATCTGTTTCTGAACAAACACCGGACCTGTGGGTAAATCTGTTCTTTGTTTTCTGGCTGCCCAGGAGCTGATGGAGAGCCCAGGAACAAAAAGACTGTTTGTGACTCGGATCCTGAAGCAGTTTGACTGTGACACCTTCCTCCCTGAGATCAGTCCTGATAAATACTGTCAGATACCAGAGTAAGAACCACCTCACACAATGATCACATGATGTAAATGATGATCACATGATGTAAACGATGATCACATGATGTAAACGATGATCACATGATGTAAACGATGATCACATGATGTAAACGATGATCACTTGATGTAAACAATGATCACGTGAAGTAAACAATGATCACATGAAGTAAACGATGATCACATGATGTAAACGATGATCACATGTGAAGTAAACGATGATCACGTGAAGTAAACGATGATCACGTGATGTAAACGATGATCACATGACGTAAACAATGATCACATGTGAAGTAAACAATGATCACGTGACATAAACGATGATCACGTGACGTAAATGATGATCACATGACGTAAACAATGATCACATGTGAAGTAAACAATGATCACGTGACATAAACGATGATCACGTGACATAAACGATGATCACGTGACGTAAACGATCACATGACGTAAACAATGATCACATGTGAAGTAAACAATGATCACGTGACAAACGATGATCACGTGACGTAAACGATGATCACATGACGTAAACAATGATCACATGTGAAGTAAACAATGATCACGTGACATAAACGATGATCACGTGACGTAAACAATAATCACATGTGAAGAAAACAATGATCACGTGACATACACGATGATCACGTAACGTAAACGATCACATGACGTAAACAATGATCACATGTGAAGTAAACAATGATCACGTGACAAACGATGATCACGTAACGTAAATGATGATTGTGAAGTAAATGATCACGTGACAAACGATCATGTGACGTAAATGATCACGTAACGTAAACGATGATAACATGACGTAAACAATGATCACATGTGAAGTAAACAATGATCACATGTGAAGTAAACAATGATCACGTGACAAACGATGATCACGTAACGTAAATGATGATCACGTGAAGTAAACAATGATCACGTGACAAATGATCATGTGACGTAAATGATCACGTAACGTAAACGATGATCACATGACGTAAACAATTATCACTTGTGAAGTAAATGATTACGTGAAGTAAATGATCACGTGACATAAATGATGATCACGTGACGTAAACGATGATCACGTGACGTAAATGATGATCACTTGACGTAAACAATAATCACATGTGAAGTAAACAATGATCACATGACATAAACGATGATCACGTAACGTAATGATGATCACGTGAAGTAAACAAGGATCACGTGAAGTAAACAATGATCACGTGACAAACGATGATCATGTGACGTAAATGATCACGTAACGTAAACGATGATCACATGACGTAAACAATGATCACTTGTGAAGTAAATGATCACGTGAAGTAAATGATGATCACGTGACATAAATGATGATCACGTGACGTAAATGATGATCACGTGACGTAAACGATGATCACGTGACGTAAACAATAATCACATGTGAAGTAAACGATGATCACGTAACGTCAACGATGATCACGTAATGTAAACGATGATCACATGACGTAAACGATGATCACGTGACGTAAACACTGATCACGTGACGTAAACAATGATCACGTGACATAAATGATGATCACGTAACGTAAACGATGATCACGTGACAAACGATGATCACGTAACGTAAATGATGATCACGTGAAGTAAACAATGATCACGTGACAAACGATGATCATGTGACGTAAACGATCACGTAACGTAAACGATGATCACATGACGTAAACAATGATCACATGTGAAGTAAATGATCACGTGAAGTAAACAATGATCACGTGAAGTAAACAATCACATGACGTAAACAATGATCACGTGATGCAAACGATGATCACATGATGCAAACGATGATCACATGATGTAAACGATGATCACATGATGTAAACGATGATCACATGATGTAAACGATGATCACATGACGTAAACGATGATCACGTGACGTAAACAATAATCACATGTGAAGTAAACAATGATCACGTGACATAAACGATGATCACGTAACGTAAACAATGATCACGTGACGTAAACGATGATCATATGATGTAAACGATCATATGACGTAAACGATGATCACATGTGACAAAATCTAACTGATGACTGATTTTTAAGGCTGACTTAGTGCCAGGGATTATTTTATACTAGTCCCACTTGTAACAGTAACGTTGAGTATTTCTGAGAAGTTGGATAAAAGCAGGTCCAGGTCTGACCCCAGCAGGGTGTCTCTGAACCTGTGGTATCCATGGAAACTGACCATGAAGCTTCCTGTCCTGCAGGTTTCCAGGGGTTCCTCAGGAGCTGCAGGAGGAGAACGGAATCCAGTACAGATTTGAAGTTTATGAAAGTTTGGATCACTGAGTGTGTCATCATAAAATAATGTGTTTGTCATGTTTGCAACTGTTTCTATGGAAATAAACACTATTTCTTTACTTGTTTCACTTTGATTGTGTGTTTTATGATTCTGATCATTACGACTGAACAGAACTGTTGATCAGTCACTCAGTGAATCTTGTAGCAGGAGAACAAGTCTGATACAGCAGCTTTCACTGAGGAGGCAGTGTTGTGTAGACATTAATTCCCAGTTATTGTAGAGTTGATGGGTCAGAACTCTCCTCCAGGGTCCGAGTCGCTGCAGCAAACTGAGCTTCCAGTTTTCTGCTGAGTCAGTTAATCTTAGGCTGTTTTCTTTCTCACAGGATCTACTTGGAGTGATGAACATGTTCACAATAATTCTGAGTTCAAAACAATCAGAAGTCAGGCTTTATAGAAAGTTTAAGATTAAGTTATTTGATAATTAATTATTTTCTAACTTTGTAATGTTAATCAGAGGTAGAAACAGGAAGTTTGGCATGAATTTTATTTCTAAATAAAATAATTTATAAAGAATCTCATGAAGTCACCATTACTTAGTTATACTTATACATGGCTCAACAGAAAGGATTAAAACACTTATTTTTAAACATTACTCAGTAGTTGAAGAAAACATTAGTTTCTAAGTGACAATGACAACTTGTATGATCAGTGTTGTATAAAGTACCACAAAATGATACTTGAGTAAAGGTACAAGTATCTTACCAAAAATTACTTTGGTAAAAGTTAAATTCTCCTTTAGGAATATTACTTGAGTAAAAGTCTTAAAGTATCTGATATTTTTTGTACTTCAGTATTAAAAGTAAAAGTATTGATTTAAAATGAGCAGTTAGATTTTCTGTAAGGACATTTATTAGGAGGTGACCTCCCCAAAACAATGCAGAAATGACTGTTGTATTAAAATAATTAATTTATGTTAAATTTAGGATGCACTGTTGCACTGATGATAGCTGTTTCGGTTTATATACATATATCAAGGCTGCACAAAGCTTTTCCCCAAAATGAAAATCTATCTGAGGGCTGCAGCCAAATGCAATAATATAATTCATGAAATACAAATACTTCTTAAGTACAGTACTTTTATTTTAATGATTATGTCCTGCTGGAGTGTGGCATGATTTGTTTGTGTACAAACTAATACGGTATCAGAATTTCATATATTTATACTTTTCATTCAACCACAATTAAATTCACTCTAGGAGGCATAATTTATATGGATAGTATTTATTTTTTACAATAATAAGCTGGAATGAAAACAAGCGAAAATGAAATAAAAGTAACGACTTTCTACTTCTTGTCTTTTTTAAAAATGTAAGGAGTAGAAGTAAAAAGTAGGCTGAAAAATAATTACTCAAGTACAGATACCCAAAAGTTCTACTTAAGTACAGTAACAAAGTATTTGCCCTTAGTTACTTTACAACTCTGTATGAGGATAGGTAGTTTAGTAACAGTAGAATCAGAACAGAGAAATAAAGAAACTTTGGTTGTGAAATAAGTAGAAACGAGGTGAAAACAGACTAAATAATTCTGACTTAATAAAGTTTATGCACATGTAAAGTCCAAAATGGAAACAAAAATAGAAACATGGTTAATAACATTTTGCACAAGAAATGTATTTTAATACAGAGAAATGTTTTATTTCTTATTCTTTTTTCTAACAGGATAAATCCCAGCAGGAGTGTTTTGTTTTCATCAACTGGTTCCCAGGCTACACAAAGTGTAATTACATCAGATGTTACACATGTCTGTAGTAAACAGGCAGTAAAGACACAAACTCACAGGGACACATCTCAGGACAATGGAGAGAAGTTTTCAGGAACGTGTTGCTACTATCAGGAAAGTTGTAATTATTCTGTCATATTTACTAATGTTGGTGATGTTACTGCTGTCTGGAGACGTAGAATAGAAATGTAATTCTCGTCATATTATGGGAATAGCTGAAGACGACAGCAGGAGGAGGGTCCAGCTGCAGTCACTATTATTATTGGACAGCAGGAACAGCTGTGAGGTAAATATTCAGCTAATGTGTTTCCAGCAGTGGTGGGCACCAGCCCGCTAAAGCGCAAATCCGCTAATTGCGGACCTAAATATTTCATTTGCACTTTAGCAGACTTACTAATTTTTGTAATTCATAAGCAGATTTGCGCTTTTTAAAATGAAAATGCAGAACCGTTAATAACAAATTATACCAGTCATCATTACATTGAACAGCGGAAGGTAAGTCTGTCAATGAATCACTACACTCCTGACCTAATCAACAGCACCCTTCCCAGATAAACACACTTATATCACTTTAAATAATCAGAAACTTGGAAAAACAAGAACAATTTTTTAAAAATTTAATATCTCATAACCAGACCCCTTTGTGACATTTTGGTTACATTCATGTTACATATTTGTTGCTTATGTATTTTTGTAACAGTTTCTTTATTTTCCATTATATTTTTGTACATCTGTCAAATTTGAAGTAAAAGATTTAAAAAACACACACTTATTGGGAAGGTATACATCCTTGCGGACTGTTGCTTTTGGCCACAGTTCTGATTTCCCAACGCTTTGTGTCTGTTTACGTAGCAGGAAGGCAATAGTAAAAACGGTAAACGTTTGTAATCCGTACTAAAATTTTGGCTCCTTTTAAAAAACAAAAAGTTTAAACGCTGGAGCTCAAAAGCAATCGGACAACGGTGTTAGAGACTCAGAAGTGATTTAAAGATGTTATGCTGGTGAAGACTGACATCTAGTGGTCAACTGGAGCAACTACATGGAAAACATCCTAATCCAGGTAGAAAAAAAATAAGTAGGTCCTCTGGATGGGTTCTTCTTTAGTGAAACGTTTCGTCTCTCCTCCAAGAGACTTCTTCAGTCTGAGAGTTTCAGGTGAACAGGAAAACTTTAAAATCCAAGYTCTTATTTTGAAGGGAAGATACTAGTTTCCTGTTTCCCGTCAGTCTGTCATGTACCCAGAATGCATTGCTTCAGTTTTCCAATAAACAGTTTTAAATTTAATGAAAAATCTACAACAAACAAAAGAAAAAGAAAAAGAAGCAGCCGAACTAGTAATACTCAACAACTTCTTAATTTTTACACCAGGAGCCAAGGTTCTGTTTCAGGAAATCAGATCCCCAGCAATCGGCGGTTGTAGGATTAAGCTGTAAAAGACTTCATACACCGCTAGTTGGCAGTATTGTGCATATTGTACATGAATTGTCAACTAGTAAGTGTCAAATTGAACTTGCGCTGTAAAATTAGCTTCCGCTAGGTTTTCTAYGGCATGAACAGTTTTGAAGTTGCGGACCTAAATATTTTTATAAGCACTTTAGAAATTGCGGAGTTAATTTTTGGATTAGTGCTGCCCACCACTGGTTTCCATCTTCACTTTTGAGCATTAACTCTTTCAGAAAATCTGAACTTAAAAATTGAGGAAGTTTCCATTCACAGTTTCTAACGTGATACTTCAAAATGCACAAAGCACTGCTGATGGAAACACAGCTAGTGAGATTGGTTCTGGGGTGTTCTCAGATTGTAAACAAAGGCTGATCTCAACAATACTCAGTGCTGAGTGCAGCCACAGTCTGGTTCTAAACATTACATGGAACCACTGACCAATAAGCTTTACTTTAACCAGATTTAAATCAGAAGGTTTYCACAGGCAGTGAGGACACATGTCCTGATGTCCTGTGTGTCAAACAGAGGGTTGTGGGCAGGAAGTGTTATTTTGTGGAGTGACCGGGTCATAAACAGTCCAGTTTCCTGAGTCAGAGTTTGAGTGAATTAAAGTAACTTTGGGTTAATGTTTGGTCCAACACCTTCAGGAGGCTGGCTCATGAAAACCTGAAACAATTCTGGATGCAGAAGGAAGTCCAGTCCAGTTTTAGAAAGATGGACCTAATAAAGGTTCTGGTGAGTCTCACAGACCTCGAGGTCCACACCTGGTTCAGATGATGTCTGAGAAGGCGGCGGCCCGGTGTCACCAGCAGAACATCTGCAGCTCACCTCCTCTGTGTTCCTGAGAACCAGGCCGACCCGATCAGGACCGGTCCCGTGGTGTCACGATCAGTTCTGTCCTCACAGAGTCCGGCAGGTCGTAGTAGATCCTGCTGTGGTCCAACTGATTCCTGTAGAGCAGCAAGTCCTGCAGAGTGAACTCATCCCCCTGACCCGTCCACACAGTCAGACTGTACCTGTCAATCAAACATTAAACACACAACTTAATAACTGAGCTTCAACATGTCCACAGTCAGAACCTGCAGTGATGTCATCACCTGTCTGACTGCTGCAGCAGCCATGACAGCTGGGAGAAGGAGCGGCCCAGCAGAGCGGCACGGACCGGGAACGTCACGGCGTGTGTCAGAGGTCTGCAGCGGTCCTGCATCTGATGCACCATGTCCCAGCTGTACCCTGGACACAAACAGACCCACAACAGAGTCCAGCTCCAGCTTTGTTTGAAACAATACACATCAGATCCTGCTGTAAACTGAGAGCATCTTACTGGAAAATACATTACATCACTGATGATGTAGGGCTGCAACGATTAATCGATTAATCGACGACGAATCGATTATTAAAATAATCGATGACTAATTTAATAATCSATTAATCGTTTTTTTGATTTGTTTTGTTTTTCTCTCCAAACTGCTTTGACACCTTCCACTGCCACATCTGCCTTTCTGTCCTTGACACACATGCACAGTAGTGGTAACTGGGGTAGGCCGTGGACGTCACAAGACATTATAC